ATCGTGGCAATGTGTGTCCCATATTTTATCTCTTTCCTATCCCTTTGCAATGCACGTCATACAGAGCAGCGCTACATAATTTTTGCTGGTTGTCTCAACTGTGCAGAATGCTGTGACGTCGAGAGTGTGGCGCTGTATCAAGCCACAAACAAAGGTGGCTCGGGTTAAAACGCGTATGAAAGACCCTCAATCTTGACCACGTACCCCCTAAAACATAAACAAAAAAACCAATACATCCTGCACGATCCACACAGTGATACGCCTGACTCCAAGATGCCCACTGCGGAGTATAATAATGTCCACTATCTAGCACAGAAATCCACTGTAAACAACGGGATGCATACCACTATTTCCCTGTTTGAGAACATGCTGTCGTTTTCGTCGTGGCAATCTCCACAACCCATATTTCATCTTGGAAGATTAGGGGTCCCTAAAAATGGAGCCCATAGCAGCAGTCCATCTCACCCATCGCAGAAATGGGCACTATTATAGAGCAAGTCCCTCCTCGTACTTGTGAATTCCAGCACGTCCGAGTTAATGCCAAAGACCCGCTCCAGGCAGCCAGCAAATGGCCCACCCTGCCATATAGGAGGCCAAGTGTTAACAGCGCTGAAATCGTATTCAGCGGCTTGCAGTCGGCGCAGTACAGCGACTCGAGTGGGTAACGACAGGAGGCCACCGGAAGGCTGTGGATGCTTACCACTTTGCGTTGTTGCGTGGCAGTGGCGAGCCACGAGAACCAAACGGGAAGCGCTGGCACAAGCCAGAAACAGCGGCGAATCTACGAAAAAGAACAGGCTGTCATTTATGCCATAGGGCGACCTGCTACAAGGCTGGCGATGGTCAACTTGATCCGGCTTCGACCGCGTGACAGTCGTATTATTCTTTTTTTGGCACACCATGTCATGGTTTATTTTTGTGATGCCGAGTTTTGCCTCTCTTTCTTCTGATCATATGCTCCCACGATTTTTTTTTCATCTCTTCATTTTGTCTTTGTGACACCTGTTGCGCATAATCCTGAGTCACCCGGCCAATGCACTCCCATATTCATGGCATCTCTACGTGTTATTCGAAAATGGTTCGATGCGCTGATATTGTTCACCGTTCTGGATGATGTTGTCTTTGGTTTTTGAACAGAATCCGGATTAGGACTAGTTCTGTATGACAGGGGGTTCTTTTTTTTTCTGTTTTGTTTGAACAAAGATGACAGCCTCGACTAGGCAGCCACTGAGGAGCCGTAGAAAGAATAAGGGAAAACGTCAAAGGCAAATGCGACCAACGACATCTCATGTCCGTCACCAGTCATCGTCGTTTCTGAATGTGTCATTCAACGTAGGCACATAGGCAACCGGGCCTCGTTTTTGAAGACATTTTGGATATGTCTTTCTTTTGTTGAACATTATCAAAACATAACAAAAGGCCATAGGACTTTGTTTGCCGCCTTGTTTTTTTAAAAAAAAAAATTAATTAATAACAGCACAATATTGTCCCAAAAGTTCTTCATTATGCAAGCAAAGCACTATATCACAATGACGGGTTTTGTCGATATGCCGTGTATATTCTTATCTTTTGTACATTTATTTTCTTGTGTTTCTCGTATATTGCTAATAAGTGGCCCATAAGCGACCGGTCCCGGTAAACGATGTTGCGAATCGACAACGTTGAATCTACAATATCATTTTCATCACTTGATGTTCTCAAGTACGTACGGTCATACCAAAAATTGCCATCGTGGCCCGTCAGCAATGCTCCGTAAACGGCCGAACCACACTGAGGCCACATCTGATTTTTTTCCTAGTTGGGCAACTTTTTGCGTAAGATGGGAGGCGACTTTTGTATCATCAAGCCATTTTCAGACATTCCAACCAACAGGCAACAAAAGCCAACAAAACACACGGCCAGCTATTGCCTGACATAATTTCGACCAACAAAACTTGTGCTCGTCACGCCAGTGGTACGTACAATGTGTACAATGTAGTGCAAGCAAGCAAAACAATACACTGTACGACATACTCTCGCATGTATGCCACCGTTAATCTTATTTTGAGCAACGACGAGGATAACATGCAGTATCAATACGTGGTCAAAAGAGTCGTCACCAGCATCGTCATCATCGCTAGTATCTCAATCATCACATTTTTGCCATAATCAATGATGAGTCGGCAGATATCCACGCGTATATAGACAATAATCAACCGTGCAGCCCGAAAGTCATACAGAAGGCTGATAGGGGATATACTATTGTGACACGCGTGCTGCAGACAGGAGACAACTGCGGATAGGTTTCATGACAGTTTTGTTGCAAATGCTTTCATTCTCTTGTACGTATCTGAACTGCGGCCGCATAAATCGTGGTCAGCCGTTGTACGTATCTTTGGCGATTATGTGAGACCAGTTCGTTTTGTTGATTTTGATATCGATTCAGCCAAAGAATAAACCATTCGAGGGAGAGTAGATAACTCTTCCCTTTTTTAAAAAAATAAAATAAAATAAAATAAATAAAACGACAAAGACATGGACAAACCAAGAATGCTTCAGGCAATAAGAAAACCTTTTAATATCCCAATGTCCCAAATGATAAAAAATAAACAAATACAGACTAGACAAGAACCTGAATAGACAAGAGAAACAAAGAGCGTGCATCAAGGATTACTCGGGCATACCAAGTAACAAGACCAACCACCGAGAAGCCTCACGTCTGCACGATTTGGGCCGCCTGCGTTGGGTCAGAATTGGGCCAACAGCTCTGACGGGTTCACCAGAGCCGTGGCTTCGGGAGCCTCGCCCTTGATGCACTTGTGGCTCACCTGGCGTCTCTTGGTCCGTTTGCTCATGTCATCCTCCTCAATAATCGCTCGTCACAGGAACCGGAGAAGAGCGAACCGCCAGCCGTGTGAGTCGTTTTGGTCGATGGTCAATGGCGAATGAGATTGTTCGCCCGCAGCTACGACGTTCGGGCTGGCGAATCTACAGAGAAAGAACGCCGTCGCTGACGGCCAGAACGATGTTCGACGGCCCTCGACGGCGAGAGCAACAGGGCTTTGTGGCTGGCAACTGATTCAAAGCGGGAAAGATGCCAGGGACCAGACGATGAGAGGCAGGAGGCAAGACGCAAGAGGCGAGAGGCTTGTCGCCTGCCGTCAAGTCTCCCTGGCGGCGCGTCTTGCAACCCAAAAAGTGAAAGTTTGCGGGAGCAATAGCTTCCAAGCTACAAGAGTGCCGGTTCAAAACTACAGAGTCCGTTTACAAGACGGCCCTTTGTGTTCCATCATTGGATTGTCCGCTGTACACGAGCGAGACGGGCAGCAGTTTGGCATCGTCTGCCAGGACAGCTCTTGGAGCTCTCATTGGCTGTTTGGATGGTGTAAGACAGGAAACGAGATTGGGCTTCTTTCGACTCGCCGGGTTGCAATCCGGACTGACGTTGTGGTTGACGAAACCCGATTCGTTAGGCTATTTGATTTCTGGAGCGCATCTCGAGCTTGTTTTAATCACCTTCACACCTTCACACTTTTACCTTCACCTTCTCTACGGCTCTCTGCTTCTTCGGCCAGACAGCTCCATTTTTGCAATTATTTTTCGTCAAATTCATTCATTTAAATACGATTGGCGTCACACAGTGGCTCAGCCGCCGATCCAATCTGTTCGCTGTGCACAGTCTCTTGGCCCCCATTATGGCTCTCTTTTTGGCATTGTGCCTGGTCAGGTGTCCCCTTCAAAGCCTAGAGGTCACCTGGTTCAGCCACAAAGCCACCAACAACCTTTACAACACCCTGTTCAGCACCGGATTGTAGGTCTCCACAGGCTATGTGTTACGAGGTGCCCGGAACACACGCTGACACGCTATGCATTTTCGTGTTCTGTTTGGCTGTCGAGCAGCAAAGAGACCAGCACCTAGACAAAGGTCCAGGCCCCGTCCGTCGAGACGGTGCCGTCCAGCTGCGTAGCGCGGTGGCAAAGGGATGTGCAGCCAGTGGGAGGGGAGTTGGCAGGTCCACGATTGGCTACCACACAAGAAGATGGGAGTTGGCAAAGAATCCCATCCTTATCCTTTGGGGAAGGCGGCTGGGCAGCCAGGCGGCATACTCGAAACGAAAAGAAGCGAAGATCGAAGAAAGTAAGACACTAACGACTGGCCTGTTCCCTAGCACGGCCAGCTGGGTTGACAACAGCTAGCGGAGGATGATCTTGTCTGCTTTCTGTCGCAGAACAAGAAAGTAATGACAAGGCCCGTGCGTCGTCAGGTCAAAAATGGTGGGCTTCGAACGGCGGAGACGGCCAAGCCGGGGCTTTTGGACGCCTTTCGATGCTTTCGATGCTTTCGACGCTTCGACGGACTGCATCGACTGTGTCGATCTATCCTTGATTTGTTCAGGGGCGTGCTGCGGCCCATCTGCCATTGAAGACTGGTCAAGACCTGCGGGGCCAAACTTGATCACCGCTTTCTTGTGGCATTTGTGCAAGACTACTGGGAATATGTTTAGATGATCCCCAGCCAGCTCACAATCCAGTACTACATTCGACGACGTAATGCTCTCTTGGTACATCTCTACATGTAGAATCCATTAAAATAGGGGACATAGGCATACGGTGCAGTGACAGCTTTGGTGCTAGCGAATGTCGATGCAGATTTGCTTGGCATGGAAGACTGTCCAGTGGAAAGAATTGACAAAGACGGAAAGAGATTGGCTTAGACTAATGGCTGACATGGAGCTGAGCAGTTTGATATCAAGATGGACAGACATGACAAGGATAAACGGCTGTGATAGTCAGGATGTTCGTTTTGTCGTGTTTGTCGTTTACTTCGTACAGAAGAGATACCGTATCTCCGTATGTCGAATGTCGATTTGTCGTCAAAATGTAACAAAAGGGAGGGGTCGTGTGATGGAAAACCAGTTTCGCCCAAGTTCGCCCAGTTTCTTCCAGTTTGGGTCCGTTTGAACCAGGTTGGGCCACCTTGGGTCAGTTTGGGAACCAGATCATCAGGATGACGATCGAGGATGGAGACGGCCATCGCCATGTCCGTAGAAGATGCGGAATCGAACCGTCTGGAAGAAAGTCTTTCCAACAGCAGCACGACAACGGACAAGAAGCGACCCATCGTACCGTCCAAGCGAAGCCAGGAGGGCACAGAGGCAGTCTTCTTCCGTTGCTTCTTTATCCTTCAAATAGGACCACCAGGACAAGCCAACGAGACCCAGCTGTGACGAACAGACAGGGGCGCCGGGAACAGATAGTCACTGAGAAATCCCGAGAACAAAGTACGGGGACCGAGCCTAACGAACAGACGCCGGTCCCAAGAGAGGACGAGAGCGCCAACTGTGATGAAAACGCCCAGACGTCTAAACGACGGCCCCCAAAAGGAGGGAAATGCCTGCAGGAATGCAATCACAGTCCCAAAGGCGCTAAAAGGACTTGTAGTGTGCCCAGTGTGCTCTTGTCCGCCTACTTTGTACTGTTACTACCCCAGTGCCGTGTGCCCGGGTGACGACTGTCTGTGTCTGTTGGTCGACCGTCCGAACGAATTGTCTTTTGGAACCACCCAGAGAGCCAGACCACGAGACCGAGGTTCGCCTATCAGTATTTCCCTCTCTTACAAAGTATTGGGTGAAAAGGCCCTTGTCCTGCAAAAGCCATGTCTGTTGGGCCTTGTCCTGATCTGTCCATGTTGACACTTTTCTCTTTTCGCGGTCTCGCCTTTTCGCCCCTTCTTTCTGGTTGTGACAAAGACACACACGCAGAGAGGAGAGGCAGAGAGGCAGAGAGCGAAACGAGAAGTGCGATTCCTTCAGCCGCTGTCGCCTCGTCGGGGCACACGGTTTCTCATCACGCCGTCTGCCCGTTGTCCATTGTCCGTTGCCCTAGAGCCGCAACTGTCGCCTTCACCTGTTGGTGCTGTTTTGTAATTACCTATTCCTTTGGGCAAAAAATGCTCACCGGCAGCTTCGGTGTTCTTTGAAATTAAATGCAGTACAATACGTACGTACGAATGTATTACTACTCACGTTGTGAAAGAGGGGACCGCCATCACTAGTAACCCCTTTGACGTGCGCAAGCGTCTTCTTTCCCACAGACAAATTCATCGTCGATTGCAAGGTCCGATTCCATGGCGAAGAATGCACACGCGAACGCAATTACGTCGTACATGGAATCGGTTCCCATGCTCGCCACGTCTCCACGCACCCCGGTAGTGGTTTTTGTTTCGAAATGGCACGGATGGAACTTGATATGCCATCTCTGAGCACTAGGCGAACGAACGATGGCACGCTATGGGAAGGGCTGGTCGTTCTCTCATGTTTTTGTCTCTTCCCCTCTTTCGCATGGCCAGGGCTGGCCTGTTGGTGTGCACCAATGCGTGCCTTTATCAGAGTGTACTATCTCGTGATCGTCTTGGTATCTCTTGTTTCTCTGACATTGAATTGCAGAGGATGGGAAGTTGACCTGGATGTATTTCGTATCTTAGCTGGCATCAACCTGAGAGACGTGAAACTACCTGCTAAATGCCCTAAAATAGCGGCTCGTCAAGGGTGGGTGGCTTTGCGTACTTGCTTTAAGGATTGTTGCATAGCCTGAAACTGGGCGCCGACTCTCCCGTCCCTTTTGCTGTTGTTCTGCTGGGGGCCCATCGTCGATTCTGACGCCGGTCGCTGATCCTATTCTAGGAAATTGGCCGCGGCCTGCCCAGTCAGCCAATCCGCCAGTCCATTCCCATTCCATCGTGCGGGCTGTTGCGTTATCTCACCGTGTTCATCGTTCGAAAGTAATTCGTACGGCCAGCGGTTCTCCTGTGCTCTCCACTCACACAGCCTCTGTCGTCTCTGTCTTTTTGTCAGCCTACCAGCAGCCAGCCTACCAGCAGCCAGCCTACCAATCCTGTTAACAGCCTTAGTAGGGCCTAACTAGGACGGAGCTTTTGCGCCTTTCCGATTTGCCTTTCCGATTTGCCTTCCCTTTTCTTCCCTCCGCATATCGACATGCACGGACGTCAAAATTGACGTATGGTATGTATGTTCGAAATCGGCACTGTCTGTGGCGTGCCTTACGGTGGCGAATTATGCGGAAAAAGAAAAGAAAATTGGACCGTGCAGCACTGTGCCGATAATGGCCGTGTCCCCTGTTTTCTGGGATCCTTTCGTTGTGATCGAGAAACGTCGTGACCATGATCGACCTGCTGGACCATACCGTCCATATCGACCATTTTGACGTTTTTGACCTTTTCAATGTTTGGGCCTATCTTGTCAAGGAGGCGAATCGTTTCTTTTTTTCAACTTTTTTGATGGAGACGACGCTCCGGCTTGTTGTCATCGGCCGAGACCTTTTGCTCTACATAGGTGTTAGAGAAAGTGTCTCTTACGTCAGGCGGCCTTGCTCGCCCTGTTTGCCCTGTTTGCCCACGTTTACCGTATCCTGTTGTGTGCAGTTGAGCCTATATCGTTGTGTCTCTTTCTCTCCCGTTCTTTCAGGGCATTTTTTGATTTCAGGGATCCTGGGTCTTTGTAACAGGTTGAGACATGGAACAAAAATAGAGACGCGCCAGAAGCAACCAAGAGCCTACTGAACGGCAAAACGGTTCTACGGAGTAGGCCGTAAGACATTGGGAAGGGATGAGAACAAGACAAAAGACAAAACGACAGGCCGACAAAACAAGTTCGGTTGGACTGGGCGAGACAGGTTTTCGAACATTGTGGATCAATCTTCTGTATTTTCCACTGCGACGTACGAAGTATTACTTTTCTTGTAATGTGGGCTGGACCAAACTGTATGGAAAAGGGGAAACAGGATGCTCGCCTCGTTTTTCGCCCTGTTCTTGACGCCTCCCCGGCCTCCCTTGTCGAGAGCCAGAGTGTCGCCTGCAACTTTCACCCGGCGTGACCTCTTGGCCAATCATCTTGCACAGACGAACAGATAAACGGGGAGGAACCCACACCAACGCACGTCGCAATACATGCCAGACAAATATGCCTCCATGCCCATGCAAGAAAGTGGTGCAAAACCTGGTCACAACTACCCCGGCAAGATGCGGCCTCCCCTAAATTTTACGAGGCTGCAGGACGGGTCTCATCGGCCTGACCACGCTATTGCATAGTTCAAGAGACAAGGGTTTGCGCGTCACTCCGGGGAGATACAGAGCCAGCTGAGATTTCGGCTGCCAAGCTGGGCTCGTTAAGGTACTGTAAATGTACGATGTACGCTTGAACATATCGTAAAGGAAATCGGTCATGTCAAAGGGAATGAGGGAAAAATCGAGACAAAAAAGCAATAACGTGACAGAAAAATAAACAGGAAACAAAAATAAAGAACAACTCACAAAAAATTAAGATCATATCACAAATTACAAGACTTTTTTTTTTAAAAAAAAAAAGAAATATCAAAAAGAAAGCAATCTATTAGTCAAACGAAATGAGCACCTGTTGCTCAGAAAGGTGCCTACGGAATATTGTCGCGTGGCCTGAAGTCGGGGGTTCCAACGGAAAAGGAAAGAAAAAAAAGAAACATTGCTTCCATACCCGACAGCCAGTACGACGTATCATCTTGTCATCTTTGCACACCGACTTTGGTTGCCTGAGCTTGGATTATTCACAGAGTGTCACACTGGCGCTATCACATCTCGAGTTTTTTGTTGTTCTTTTCTTCATTAAGAATCCTTCTTCAGGTTCATAACCTCAGCGTACTTCGTACATCGTAAAATCCAATGACATAAAAGGTTGCTTGAAAAAGTGGAGTCCATTTTGTTAGCCTCTGCCTCTGTCTCTGCCGTGCGTTCCCCTTGTACATTTTCATCTGCTTCTGCGTCTTCCTTTTTTCCCTGACCAACTTTTGGCGGTCCTTTTCCACTTTCGATACCAAGTCCGCTCCGTCCTATTGGCCGATCGCCCCTAATAAAGTAAAGCATGGGCCATGAACCATGGATACCGCTGGATGCGCGTGGAGAAGAGAAACACAATTTGACAAAAAAAGAGGAGTCCACACGCACGGAGAGGACGGCTGGACCGTGCCCAGATCTAATTTTATTTTCGGCGTGCGGTCTGATCCATCTGACAAAGTACGACACATACGTTGGCACGGTTGGGTATCTTGCATCGTATTACTCTCTCGTCGATACGCCGGTCGTTTCCTTCTGCCCAGACCACACCACCCTTCCAAAACCCATCCGGTCTTTTCCCAAAGCTGGAAGTTGGTGAAAAAGATGACCCCGGCATACGAAGTAATTTCTCGAATGCAACTCGCTTGCGCAGGGGGGCCTTGATGATGGACGAGTGGTTTTGATGGGGATTGTCTTGATGAAACTGTAGACGATTTTTGTTTGAATTTGGGGCGACTTGTGAAACTCTCGAAGCGCTGGGCTTCAACATTGCAGTATCTTTTAGAACAGGGCGGAACGGGATTTCGGAGTATAGAAATTATGTACGTGCACGGGGAAACATGGTAATAAAACCTTGCACAATGTAAAGACTGCATCATACAATAAAAGTAAACATTTACGGCGTAGAACATTGGTGTCTCTCTGTTGTGCCGCGTTGGTGCAGCTGAAACGAAATGGCCAGCCGTGGCGGCAAACCGTTGAGAGAGTTCACCAGCATGGATTAATGAATGCAGAATAGTGCACGCCACCAGCCAATAGTGCGGCCGTGACTTGCTTACTCGGGCGGCTGCATACCAAAAGGCATGTCTTCTTACGTCTTTCGTGAAGGGACAGGTACAACAGAACATGCGTCTTTCTATGCATATGGCATCGACATGCATGTCTGCACTTCACAGCACAGACCAGGCTGTTCAGCCAGTGAGATGTGCTGCCCGTGAGTGTGCTGCACATTCTGCCTACAGGTTGACTGCATTGTGCTGCATTTGCCTCCATTTGCTTGCATTTGTCTGCATTCGCAGTGCATTCACAGTGCATCTCGACAGCTCGTCACCGCCCTTTGGGCACCGAGGCATGTCCTCTCCCTGGCTTTCCCTGCCCCATCGCCTTCCTGCCTTGCCTGTGCCTGTTTTGCTGTCCACTTCATCGTCGTTTGCATGTCTTGTCAAAACACGTTCAAAAAGGTGAAACGGGTGTCTTGTCCGCAGGCAGTTTCTCCATATTCCCTCACCTCATCCCCCCTTCCAAGGGACCCTCACGCCCTCCTCCGGGAAACACAACGGGAAGAGCGAAAGATTGAGAGGGTTCGTCGGTACCGTGGGCCCATGGGATCGTATTTTGTAAGGTCCAATGCCCAGAGGCCCCATACCAAGCCATTGGCAAAACCCCATCAGCCAGTCAGAAGCAGAGGGCATTGCCTGATCGAAACCGTGCGAGGCAGTTCCTGAGGCAGTGGTGTTTCGGGCAGCCCACCAGGCCACGTCGTATCCTTATCAGCGGTATCTTGCTCGCCAAAGAAAAAGAGACTTGCCAAGGGCCAGCCTAGCAGCTGCCATTGGGGGGCGATTACGTGTGATAAGTGCTCAAAAAGCGCCTGGTGTCTGGACATGCGCGCCAATCGGGCACTGCCTTTGAAGGAGACGGCGCTGTTTTAGAGGGCGGCGGGGTGCGTGTTTGTTGCATGTTTGTTGCCTGTTTGGTGCACTTTTGGCGCACTTTCGCGGAATATACCAAACTTTCCTTTGTCCTCATGAACGCCAGTGCAAGTGCAAACGCGTCGTGCGTCCCTGGCGTCCTTCAGCCGAGCGCGAGAGCGACCGCCAACTCCGTCGTGGAAAATCCCGAGCACGAACAGGTCATCCACTATTCTGTACCTAATCCCCTACATCCTTGGCGTATGGAAGAGGCTTGGAGTTCCTTTGTTAGTAGAAGTGGTCCGTCTGGATCTGGGCCACTGCCTTATGCCAAAAATAAGACGGCCTCCACGGAAGCCGGCGTGAAGACGAGGATGGGGACGAGGACGAGGACGAGGAAATGCGAGAGATCCGGGAGACGGACAATACGGGGCCAAATAGAATAGCGCCTTCGCTGACACACGAGAGGCCACCTGGTCCTTGTGGTCCCCTACTCTGTACAAAGGAAACATTGTCAGGTGCCTTTCAGATTTATCTGGAAACGGGACGACGGCAAGCGGCGGCGGTGCTTTTGGCACGCATCTCCGCGAGATGTGCTGTTTTTGCTCTTTTCATCTTAGTTTGAATTTTTTATTTTGCAGGAACAGTCGCACAAACGCCCGACGGGACGTGCAAAGACATGCATGAGAAGAGCAACACTGGACACGACCTCACGACCTCAGGCAGCACACTCCGAGACTCCCGCCTCTCCTGTGGCCCAGTGTTCTGAGTGGCTGTGGCACCGCCCATCACTTCCCTTCTTCCCTCGTCTCTGTTTTTGCTTCCACTGTCCCGTGTGTGAGACAAATCCATGCGCGTCCGCTGACTCGCCCAACAGCGCCACCCCTGGGCCCCTCTTTTTTATTGTGCTCTTCTCATTCGTATCCTGCTGTTGCACATCCTGGGCTAGTTGTCCTCTTTCGTCACCACCCACAATTGCGTGTCTGGGGCCGTTTGGTTTTGTCTACGTCTGCTTTTCTGCTTCTGTTGGAATATGCTCCACTCACACAATTTTAAAAGAGGCGCGTTGCCTGTTGAGTGCTAGGACCATGTCTCGCCTCCACACGATGGGGCGCCTGTGACTGGATGCCTCGAAACAAAGAACAAGACCATCGCACTCAGTCTCCAGTCTGCAGTCTGCCAAATCCAAGACATGGCCAACGGCACCAGAGACCTTCGCCTGCCACACCACGCCTCACCACACATTCCCCCCTCTGCATGTCGTAGTGCTTGCGTTCCTTGCCTCGCCGTCGCCGGTTTTGACCAAAAAAGGCTAGTCGTCTGGCCACCTTTTTCTTTTTTGCCTTTTCTTTTCTTTTCTCACTCTTCGTATTTCTTCTATTTTCTTTGATTTAATTTTATTCTATCTGCAGCCGCAAGCCACTCACGACCCACCACTTCGAGCGTGCATCTGTCTTACAGAGTCAGTCTCTAACCAGTCTCGGACCGTGTCTGTATCTTCTGAGTCCGTGTCTCAACGCCTCTTTATCGTCTTTTATTTTATTTTATTGTTTTATTTTGGTTTGTTTTACTCCGTGTATGTCTACCATTTTGTCTGATGTGCACGGTTTTGTGTCCTTTTCGTCGTGTTTATGAATTTTGTGCTCATCTCTGGCCTGTGCCCGGCATCCCCTGGCTGGTGCAGGTATGCAACAAACTGCAACAACTGCAACAACTCCAGGCAAAGGCTGCAGAAACGACTCCCAGTCCCATACCCTGGCTCGAACCAGGCCTGGGCTCTAATTAGTCAAAAGTCGTCAAGGCGTAACCCACCCCTGTCTCCTGCTCCTCTGGCCACATCCTCGTGCCATCCGCCGTCCTCTGTCCACCCTGACGGTCCCCACTTTTATCTGTGCTCCTTTTTTTTTTTTTTTACCCCCCCCCCCCCCCTTACCAGAGTACAAAACAACGCAACACGGCCTCCGCCCACCCCTCCATAATAAACTACGACGCTTTGCTCCATAATTGACCACGCTAGTGCGAGCGGCAAGACGCCCAGCCCTGGTGCAGACCTTCACATCCTTCACGCTCATCACTCAGACAAAGTCGCCCTCGCCCTCGTCCTCGTCGACCACGCCTCTCTCGCCAAGGTACCTTTGTGCTCTTTCGCCCGCCCTAGTCGATGAAAGTATCCTGCCTCTGCGACTTGTCCCTACGTTCCTGTTGCAAAGCTCGATTTTCTCCATTTTGTTCGTTATCAATATCAACGGCCTCACCCCCCCTTCCCTCGACCACCTACATCCTACTTCATCTCGAACCTCCTCTCAACCCCATCAGCCGTTTGGGAAACCTCTTTTTAATTTTCATATTTTCATATTTTCATGTTTTGACCGCTCCCTATTTTCCTATTTTCTCTTCAATACCCTTACCTTTTTTCTTCTCTTCTTTTATCTTCATCAACCCACGCTCTCTCATCCGGCTGTATCATCTCTTCACTCTCCGTCTCTTCTTACACGTCCACATCCCAATTCTCAACGCATCTCATCTCACCTCTTGGCCACATATTGACTCGTTAAATCGAAGCTCAATATACATCTACGTTTCCCCGGCTCGACATTACCTTTGGCTTGCCTTTTCTTGGACTTGACGACCCTCTTGAGCGAAACCTTGCTCTCATTGACGAACGACGAAAAGGAAATCAAAACAGACCCGACCTGAGGATTATTGTTTCTCTCTTGGAAGCTATTTTCTTTTCTCGTGCTCGCTCTCTTTTTCTCTTGTCGTCTTCCTGAAAGGCTTTCTATTCTGTCACCATCTTCCTCCGAGAAGTTCCTGGACAACGGCATCAAACAACGGAGCTGGTTCTTTCGCCCTGGATTTGTTTGATTTTTTACGACCTCTTGGAAAACACGGCAACATTAGAACATTGTACATGTCCTCTCTTCTGGCCTAAAGGATCCCGGAACGGTCTCGTTGTCTCTCTCTCTCTCCCCCTCTTCTCCCCCCTCAAATAACATGCATAATGTCCTGGCTCCGAGCGGCCTCCCGACACCACCATCGTCGCCCCTGTCGTTTGACTATCCCAAGTGCGCGCAGCCCAACCTCTTCCAGCAGCAACAGCAACAGCAGCAACCTCAGTCAATACGCACACAACAACAGCAGCAGCAACGCTACGTCCCGGTAGCGCCCGCGGACCGGATTGGCACCTACCTGGGCAACCTGCAGCTGACGGGCATCATCGGCACCGGCGCTTATGGCGTGGTCTACGAGGCCGTCGACGTCAAGACGCGCGCGCGCTATGCGGTCAAGGCGCTGAGCAAGCTCAACGCCGACGGCACGCCGCTGGAGGCGCGCCAGATTGACTACCAGACGCGCGAGATCCGGCTGCACTACGAGGCGTCGGCGCACCCCAACGTGGTGTCCATGCACCGCATCATCGACGTGTACCCGGACTGCCTGTTTGTCGTGCTCGAGTACTGCGCGGAGGGCGACCTGTTCTACAACATCACCGAGTGCGGCCACTTTGTCGGCAAGGACGAGCTGGCGCGCAAGGTGTTCTGCCAGATCCTGGACGCGGTGCATTTCTTGCACAGCAAGGGCATCTACCACCGGGACCTGAAGCCGGAGAACATTCTGGTGGCGGACCGCGGCGAGACGCTCAAGCTGGCGGATTTCGGGCTGGCCACAGCCTCGGAGCGATCGGAGGACTACGGATGCGGCTCGACATTTTACATGTCGCCTGGTATGTTGCGGCAACTCGTCCCTTTTCTCTTTCCCTTCTCCCTTTTGCCAGTTGCTAACGTGTTCAGAATGCCTGGGACAAAACTCCAAACGCCCCTACTACTACTGTGCGCCCAACGATGTCTGGAGCCTGGGCGTCATCCTCGTCAACCTGACGTGCGGCCGCAACCCCTGGAAGCAAGCCTCCACGGACGACTCGACGTACCGCGCCTACGCGCGCAATCCGCGGTTCCTCAAGACCATCCTGCCCCTGTCGGACGAGCTGGACGACATCCTGGCCCGCATCTTTGCCATCAACCCGGACCAGCGCATCACCCTGCCCGAGCTCAAGCAGCGCATCCTGGCGTGCCCGCGCTTCACAGTGTCCCCGCAGGAACAGGCAGCCGCTGCCGCTGCTGCCGCTGCTGCCGCTGCTGCCGCGCAACAGCAGCAGCAGCAGATCCAGATCCCTGTCAACGTCTTCACGCCACCTACGACGACACCCCAGCACAACTTCAACGGGTATGAAGCGTCGTGTGCCTCGGACTACGCCATTGTGGATGACGACGACGAGGAGGATGCTGCCTATGCCGAGGACGACGAGTACGACGAAGTGGCCTCCGAGGAGGACGACAGCGTGTTTGACAAGGCCGACCGGCCGCTGACGCCCGCCTCGTCTGTTGACGAGATTGACGAGATCTTTGAGGACGTGGACACCATGGACAGCGTTTCTACCGCGGTGGTCGAGGTCGAGGTCGAGGAGGTCGGCGTCCAGGACTGCCCCTCGCCAGCCGTCTCCGACGACTGCGTCTCCCTGGGCGACGTGTCCCTGGTGGCCGACGACGAGGACAGCGAGCTCTACGAGTGCCAGGATTTGCCCGAGATCGTAACCCCGCCGCCGCCCTCGGTGGCCGTGCGCCCGCCTCCCTTTTCGCAGCAGGTCGTCTTCCAGGCATCGTCTCCTGCGGCTGCTGCTGTTCCCCCGCCGTTCCAGCCCATCCAACAGTGCCTGCCTCCGACCCCCGTCTTCTTTGAGGCCGAGGACGCCGCCATGCTGGGCGTCGACGCGGTTAGCACCCCGGCCGCCTTCCAACACCACCAGCAGCACCAGCAGTTCTTGCAGCAGCAGCACGCCCCCATCTACCACTTCCAGGCATCACCACCATCACCTCCAGCGGCCGCTACCCCTACCCCTACACCCGCAGCAGCAGCACCCGTGTCTATGTCTCCCGCTGCGCAACAGCAGCTGCCTCTGCCACCCCCACCACCGCAGCAGGCACCCATGTCGCAACAGCAGCTCCACCAGCAGCAGCAGGCCGCCGCCCTGGGCTCCAAGTTCTTCTTCCCGTCCATCTGGGACTGGGTCCTGAGCAAGAACGCCGCCGTCCAGGGGCACGTCGTGCAGCCCCTGCTGCAGCAGCAACTGCACCACCCAAACCACCCTCACTATTCGTCGCATCACCAGCAGCACCAGCAGCACCAACAACAGTGGGCTGCGGCGATGCACCACAGCCATCACCTCGCGGGCTTCCACAACCCCATGCCCATGTTCAACATGCAGGGCTGTTATTAAAAAATACGTTTGTTTTTGTTGTTCACCGTCTTTGCGTCGACAAAACAGAACAACCAATTTAAGGGATACAAAAAAATTACCTTTTTTTGCCATGAACGTCTCACGTCTACTCTTGTTTCTCCCCTTTCGTCTTGTCAGCTATTTCATTTGTTGTACTGTTTCTGTTTTTTTAAACAAAGCGTGGAGTTTATCGGAACAAGGCAGCTTTACAAGGAAAGCAAACCTTTTTATGGAGAGGGGGATATCTTCTTTTACTCTTTCTGTTCTATTCTTTTATTACTATTACTACCATCTTCTTACCACTTTTATTACTATCAAAAACATGCCGGATGGCCCAAGGAAAAAACCGCCTTGTTCTACTTTCATAGCTTTCATTCTTATCAAAACATTTTTTTTTTATTCTCTTCAGATTCCTGAACTGGACGCAAAAAAGGACAAACCAACAAAAGCAAACGGATCTTCTCTCCGGACTTTGGGCTTTTTGGGCTTTTTGGATGCAAGGAAAGGTCGACCTGAGACCGTTTTTGGACCCTTGGACAATCCTTGCTCAACACGGAAATGCAGTCGTCTGTTTCTGTCTTTCCCGTCTTTGACACTGTGTCTCATTCAAGCGTTTTTCTCTCTTTGACCTCACGATGATCGCCCTTCCGATTTTTTTTTTTTTTTTTTCCAAAAAACCTTTCACCTTGATCTGGTCTAATTCGTGTCTCATCTCACCCACTGCTAGGAATTGTCGTTTTCTACCACCCATTTCGGAGACTGGGTCTTACTCGGACGATCTTGTTGGTTGTTCTTTTAGATTTTTCTGGCCAACAGCCTGTTGTAACCCTCTGATGTTTTCTTCAAACTTGGGTTGGCCGCTTGCTTATTTGATTGATAGATCATACTCCGTAGAGGCAACAGAAATCAAAAACAAAATGCAAATTTGCAAAGACGCAACCACCCGCCAGCGACACGCTTTCGTCGTGGCTGCTATGGGAACGTCAAGTTTCTGTTGTGATATTTTAGGAACACAATGAAGACGTCCACAACAGGCCAACACTGCTTCGTACGGCGGTAACGGCAAGCAAAAAGGCGACCTCTGAGACAGGACAACACATGCAATGTCACACGGCGGTACAAAACACTCTCGGTTATGGGCACAAAAAATAGAAACAGACCACATTTCGTCACCAACAGACCGAACCACACAACTCTGCAGTTCGTCGTCACTTCTGTCCTTTGTCGCCAATGTCCAGCCGCGTTCCTTTCCCGTATCTCTCTATCCGGGTCTTGTGACGGGATGACAAAACGATGACAATTGTGCAGAAAACAAGTCACACCGCCAACTGACTGAGGCAATATGCGATAATAGAAGAACAATATCATGTTTCGTTTTCCTTAAATTGTCGGATCTTCTCAGCACACCCTTTTCCAGGAAAACGCATCCCTTGCATGGCCCAATCGGAGAGAGCCAGCAACAAGGATGGACAAAAGAGGGGGGAAGGCACCAGGGAACACCAACAGAAGCACAAGAAAGAAACATGGAAGGAAAAGAAGAGAATCGAAGAGAAAACGAGGCGAGCCATCCATCCACCACCATTCTCAGTGTGATTATCGTTACCACCCTCCCACCATATTGAAAACCAGAAAACTACAAAGTACGAGAGCAACCAGAGACCACTTTGGGCGAATCAGACGGCTCCCTGCCGCATCTCTGTCACAAATCAAATGGGGAAAAGTGAGCGCACACGAGGCACACCAACAGACCAAACAATAAAAGTGAGGCGGGCGAGGCAGGTAAGGCGGGCGAGGCGGGTCATGCAAACATGTGGCTGCCCATGTCGACAACCAATCGTTTGGGCGACGAAAGAGGTCGGGCACCAGCGGGGAGGGGAAGATGAGGATGGGTCACCTGCACGACGTTGTGGTGGTCGTGATGATGGAGGGCTGGTTGATATTCCGCAGTGAAAAGGAGGTGGTCGGAGCTTGGCGCTAGGCCAGGTTTGGTGTGCAGTGCAATCCTTCGTAAGGACCCACTATTATGAGGGCCAACGACGTATCTGGTTGGCTATCTAATTGTCGGTGAGACCTCTGTAGACTGTGATTGGCTGGTCCGTGTAGCAAAAAGTGGGACCACGCAACACAGTACAATATACTTTACATACAGTATGAAGGCACTGTGCAATATTGCAAGACATTGCTCTCAAAGTGATCATCGTCGATCACTTGCATAAAAGAGGCAGAATGAGAAGGAAAAAGGCTGGTTGAAGAGCGTGCATGGCAAAGAGAACCGGAGACGACCGTTGGGGCTGATTGCAGACTGTTTGCAGACTGTTTGCAGTGGCATCTGTTGCTATTCTTCTTCTTTGTCATCTCCATTTCGTCACCTGGCGAGCCAACTCATTCTGCAAAAGGACAGCAAGTCGCGGTGGAAGAGCGGTCGTTGATCCAAAAAGGAAGCATGAAAGCGGCCCCACAGGCGAGCGACGACACGGACGACGGCCCCGGATTTCCTGGAGATCAATTAATTTACGCGTGAGAGTTTTGAAAGACAAGCGCTTACGAAGTATGAGAGTCGTGTTGAAACGGGCAATCCTACGTCGTAAGATGAAAGGGAAGGCGTCTGTCGCCCAGCCTGGCAAAATGCTGTGATGCTGTGGGAGGGTGAAGGGTACACAAGAGTGGCGAAGACTGCGCTGCAGGAGGCGGAGAGGGAAAATAATAAAATTAAAGGAAACCAAAAAAGGAGAAATGCCGCGGCCCGTCCACAGGTTTGAAAACGATGGAAGGATTGGGGGTTAGCGCTGTACTCTGTATGCACGCACAATGCACGCAGGTTCGGGCGCAAACAGGACGAAAGACGACGGAGGAAATATGCACTCTCTGCACTGCAGGCTGTGGACTGTGTGTCTGATCCGCCAGAGGACGCGTCCGATGACGAACGGGGGGCGCACAAAGACTCAAGACACGATGATACGACGACACGACAACAGCGGCGTACTCGTTTACGGCATATTGCATGATGCATATGCAGCTGCGTTGCATTGCAGAACGGATAACAGCAGTGTGATAAGGGAGCGGAGGAAACGAAGGAAACGAATAGAAGACGAGAAGAAGGCAGAGAGCACAGAGGCGGGAGACGACTGCAAGGGAGGTCCGTCGGCTTGCATGCGGCTGGCTGGGCAACCACCTCAGACTCGGCAACACGTTTGTCACAAAAGTCAACAGTCAACATCATGACCTTTTCGCTACGTGCGTGCATGATGCATACAAAAAGTCCTGCACGAGGTGGCACAATCGTGCGCGTCTTGGACGAATCAACCACCTTGCCAGGCTGGCCCGGCAAAATACGACGGCGAGTATCCAAAGGGGGAACATATGTTTTCAATACAGTGAAGGAAGCAGGTTGACGAGGCAGTGCGATGGGCGTACTTGCAGCACATCACACTGGTCAACGCTCTGACTGACCTTCTTGTCTTGCATCGATCGGGAAGTGCTAAAGTATCTCATTGGTGCGCATCGTGGAGAAGGTGTTTGGCAATTTGGCGGTGAAGAAGAGACACGCTACACAGGCGGAGTGCAGGTCTGTCTGTGGGAGTGATGCCAAGCTGCTCAGGTGCTGAAATGTTGCCAACCGCAAAAGAAAGCACAGAGACATGCATGGAGTCGCTGGGTTTGAGCCCTTTGATTGTTTTGTTGCTGCAGGGAGGTAGGAAAGGGAGACAGAAACACAAACAAAAGAGAGAGACAGAACCACAGGCACATGTTGGCTGTGTTGGATATCCACCGATGATATACCGACAGACGTTCCAGGCGATGCGGACGACGAGGATTGTGTTCACTCACGGTCCACTCGCTTCGCCTTGCCGTCTTCGTATTGTTGCAGCGGCAAACTCTGACATGGCACTTCCAACTGAAGCAGTGAATTACACGAAGCACTCGTCGGCCCCATGGTATCGATGCAAACGGAGACGCGTAAAGGACGAGACTTGGATGTCCAACCTCACGACAAAGCCATCAGTGATGAGCAACTCTCCACTGCTAGCCCCTTTTGGGAAATTGTTGTCGTCACGTCCAGTCCTTTGCTTTTTCGAAGCTGCTGACTGTTGGACGGCACGATCAACATGTTCTCCAGTCTCATCGAGGATATGATGCTCGCATGAACGAGAAGAGGCGCGCATAGGTCACTCGGTATCTACGCTCTTCCTCTTACGGGCATGGCGAACTGAGGAGACAAGGAGAAACTTGCCTAATCTGGCTGTGCATCTTGCCATGCCTTGACTTATGGAAATGCTACGATGAGCACTATATGCATGCTCTTTAAAAACAGCCGCTAAGAAAAGGAACTGAAATGCACCAGCACTACTGTAGCCAAGGCCGGAACGACAAGAACTATTACGTCGCTCTACCGTGGGGTACCTTGAGCTAGTCGGAGTCGTGCAGTTGCGGCCAATAATCACGGACCGGCCGGCATCGTGGTTCGAAAGCTGGAAACCCAAAGCCAGGCCAACAGCGAGTCGACTAATGTAACTTACGTCGGTAGTCCGTAGCGGTGCCATGCTCAATGCTCTCCCTGCAAAAACTTGAAACTCTCAAGCAGCTAACCATTCGCAGTGTGACATCGCGGGGTCCCGAACAGGACGCAAGCCTGGTCTGATTGTTGATTTTGAGATTATGGACCTGGGCAGGACTGGTAGCTGGCGTGGCGGGGCCTCGGAATTGGGACCTTAGACCTCGATCTTGCCCTTTGTCGAAATCAACTCTGTACAACAACAGCCGAACATACTTTGATGGAGCGCTAGAAGACAACGAGACCGAAGAAGGAAAGGAGATACAGTGTCGAAGGCATCGCTTCCGAGGACGACGGCCGTGCATCGTCTTCCGTCACGCGCCTTGACCGCCATCTCTCTCTTGCAACGGCGCGGAAATCCGTCCATCTCTGGTCCTACGCATCCCTTGCGTCCTACGTCCCGGTTTTCTTGTCGTACGTTTGCTGTTTTGTTGTTTTGTTTCTTTTC